TTGAGTCATCTTCTGCCTTCTTGTTTGTTTTTTTTTTTCCTGTTTCTTCACATCAGAGTAGCTTCCAAGGCTCATCTGTGCAAATCAATAGTTACTGCAAAGCTTTACACCCTGCCCTTGGGAACAACAAGATTCCTGTACAAAATATCCCTGAGAAAGGGATAATTGTGCACCAGAAGACTTCTCCAGCTTTAATTATTCTTCCATGCCCAGATACCAGGAGGGACAAAGATGGATTTGGGTTTTCCCTTCCTTTACCACTGCTCTGCAAATAGCTGTTGCCCTGGCAAAGCATCCTTTTGCAGGCTCTGATTCCCTCCCTCTACCTCTGCTCCCTTTGTATTCCACAACTCAGCCACAGAGCAGGGTTTTGCCTGTTGACAGTTGTACAGCATAACCTGGTGCTCAGCCCAGGGGGAGGAGGATGTTCATGCTAGGCAGAGCACCGAGAATTCAGGAGGGACTTTTGTAACCTACTGAACCACGGCAGACCTAGGAAAGATCTGAAGATTATGCAGTTCTTTTCAATGTTTTCTTTCCTCACCCCTGCTCTGTTTTTATCCTTCTTTCTTTCTTTATTTTTTTTTTCCCCTTGCTAATGGTTTTTTTTTTTTTTTTTGCCGGTTGAAAAAACAGTTCAAGTTGTGCCCCCGCCTCAGAGTGGCAGTGAAGCATGCCTGAGGATTTGCTCCAGTGGCAAAGCAGATCTGATTGGGAATAAAAGCAAACAGCAGAGGCCATTCGAGCAAGTCATGCTCCTGAACCCTTCTAACCAGGGGTGGCTGCCAAAAGAGGTCTTGCACAAGCAAATCTGGCTTCGTGCAGGAGGAACATTTTTGCATGTATGCAGGCTGGCTCTGACTCCTGGATAATGTGGTCTCTGGAAGCAGTGGTAATGTGCTTCTCAGATCCCTGGCTGCTGGAATTACCTTAATATCAAGGTATTCATGGTTTGGTATGTAGCTCTACGTTTTATTGACTTTGTCTGCACTGAACTCCCTTAGGAGGGTATGCTCTGCTGGGGAGTCTCCTCTGGTTGTTCCAAAGGGCTGGTGAGGAAAGGAGGTAATTCATGGGACATTAGAATGCTAAAGAAGTCAGAGATGGTTTTATTTTCCTCCCTCTTGAAGTGTGTTTCCTTAACTGTACTTCAGCTCGCTTTTATTTGCAGCTACACTTTGATTTACAGTAATAAAAAAAAATAATTTATCAGTGTAAAAATCAGCTAGGGAACAGACAGCAGGTGTTCTTTTAATTTAAAAATGTATATTATATTATTATTCAGGCTTGTTTGCTTATATTAACTTAACGTGCTAGACATGCTTTATGATTTAGAGTGACTATAAACCAAACAAACTGAAGTGTTTTGGCAGAGGTGCTGGGCTTGGCTGTCAGGGCAAAGAGTCTGAGGTACCTCTAGAAAATATAAGATGGGAAATAGCAATGCAGGTGTTATAACATGATTTTTTTTTACACACAGAGACATCCACAAATCATTTCTTGTATAATGTAGGACTGGTCACTTCACTCAGAAATCAGTGGGGGAAGTGGGGGCAGGGGAAAATCCTCCTCTGAAGCCCTTAATGTTTGGTTTTTTTCCCATGGATGGTTTCCTTGGAGTTTCTTCCCCTGCCAGCGGTGAGGGAAGGGAATAGGGGCAGAAATACCCCAAGGCACTGTGACAGATCCTCCTCTCTTCCCCTCTCCGTGGGGCAGGGAAGGGAAGCATTTCTGCAGGGAAAGGAAACCAAGATGAATTTCCCTGGGGAGGAAAAGAGCACTAGAGGAATTCAGGAGCACACAGGAAAAAGTGATGCGAGGGAAAAAAAATAAAAAAGGAAGCAAACCAACATTTAAAAAAAAAAAAAAAAGTGACCAAAAAAAGCACCAGAAATTGGCTGGGATCCATTTCAGGAAATCGCTGTGAAGCTCAGTAACTTTGTCACACAGAGACGTACAAATGAAGGGAGGAGACAGAGGATGATGGGGGAGCTCTGATCCAGCCTCTTTCATCTGTGTTAGGCTCCAAAATGCTCCACCACGCTGACCTCACACATGGAGACCAACGTTACACACAGGGACAGCAGAGAGGGACGGGGAGAAATTGTGACTTGTGAGCTGAAACACAGCCTGGAGCGTGACAGACACACCAAGGCCTCTCAGGTTAAACCTGAAATGGCAAGTTTTGCAGCTGTCCCCCTCTGTGCTGGTGCAGCCCAGGGAAGACACTGTGCCCTGCAACCACCTTTCTTCCTCCCATCTTCGGGGGGGGGGGGCTCTGCTGTCACGGCATTTTGGTGACATATCTGCAGTATTAGGTGTCCTCCAGCAGGTCTGGAAACGTGGCAGGATGCAGTGGTAGGATTTTCTCCATTTGGGGCTCCTGGACAGGGAACAACGTGTTCCAGGGCAGAGAAGGGAGAGGGGCAAGAGAGATTCTTACCAGGCCCTCCTGTGGATTGAACCTTATTCTTTACTGTGAGGGTGGGGAGACACTGGAATAAGAGAAGTTGTGCCTGCCCCATCCTTGGAAGTGTTCAAGGCTGGACAGGGCTTGGAGCAACCTGTTCTGGTGGAAGGTGTCCCTGCCCAATGGCACGGGGTGGAACTGGATGATCTTTGAGGTCCCTCCCAACCCAAACCATTCAATAACTGTGGTCGTTCCCACCTGACTCTGGCTGCTCCAGGGGACATCTGGTCACGTCCCCCATCTCCCAGATGTCGTGAGGAGCTCTTGTGAGGATCTCCCATCCACGGGTGGACCCACCAGGCGCCGCAGATGAAGAGTGTGGTGCTTGTTTTACCAAGCTTGGCGTGTGATAGAAGTACCCGAGTTGGTAGAAGTGCTGTTCCCAGCACATCCACCGCATCCCAAACACATATTCCCACCACTTGTGCAGAAAACAGTGTCTCTGGAGCCCTGCCCCTGCCCCCCCCAGCTGGAGCCCACCAGCTGGAGCCCCGAAGGAGGAGGTGGAGCCTTGGCTGTCTCCATCCATCCCTGTGGAGGAGGAGCTGGCAGCCCTGGGGAGCTGCTCCCAGGAGCAGGACTCCAGGTAGGCTGAGCAAGGGGTGGGATGGGGATGTGTCTCCAGCACCGGATTAAGGAGGCCAGACATCTCCTGGCCTGGAAATTTGTGGCAGGGAAACTTGTTCTGGTGATGTGGAATTAATGGCTATGGGGAACTGTGCTTGAGAGGGAGAAGCCTAATTATTTCAGGGCAAAGTTTTCCATACATTTTATATCCATGTCTAATCCAGGGCGAGGCTTGGTGTGGGGGATGGAGCCTCTTCCTTAAGCGTTTCCCTGACAGGTTTCCCATTACAGGTTGCACGTATTTATTGCCCACTGGACACTGTTTGGTGTTTGATTCTGGGCTTGCCTGAGGAGCAGTTGCATGTACAGCCCTTCCCACCCCCCCCCCCCCCCCCCCCCCCCCCCCCCCCCCCCCCCCCCCCCCCCCCCCCCCCCCCCCCCCCCCCCCCCCCCCGCCCCCCCATTTCCTCCCGTTGTTCTTTTTCGGATCACTTGAAGGTTTTTTCCTGTTTATTATCCGGACATGCTGTGCTCTGTGTGTTGCTTGACTGTCACATAAGGAATCTCCTACTGGGATCATGGATGCATTCCTTTCTTTTATATATATATATATATATATATATATATACATGGCAATGGCTCCTAGGCTATGGAAGAGAAGTGCTGGGGGTTAAACCAAAACTGGAATGACTTACAGTTGTTAATGGGAGCTAAGTTTAATTACCCTTTCCCAGAAAACCTGCAGCAGTGTGATGATATAGTCCCAAACAAAAATTCTCCTTAATTGACATAACAGGAAAGGTACTTTAGTGAGCAATTATGCTGATGTCCTGGGCTGGCACATGTGTGCACCACAAATATATCTTGTACTTCCTGCAAAATTCTTTTAAGTAGCTATAAGGAAGACATTATTTTTTTTTCCCCTTTTTTTCAGCAGTTCACGAGAACTAATCACTTACTTGAGGCTCTTTTTGAGGAAAACAATGGAACAAAACAATGCCCTTTTGTAAGACCTGCCAAAGCACAAAGGATGCATGGGATGTTTTTTTTCTTTGTTGCTTTTGTCAGCAGGAAGTTTTGTTGTTGGAAACGACTATAACATGCACTGTCCTTGCTCTACGTAATCGCTGTCTGGTCCTGCAAGCCGGGTCTTGTTAAGCTGCCTCATCAAAGTGGCACAGGCACCGCTCTGCTCCGCTCGGAGGGCTTTGCTCAGCCCGCAGTGCCCTCTCACTTAGCGCTCCATCCGGGCTGATGCACAATAAACAAACTTCAGGACTCGTGGTGGTCCAATGATTGCTGGGTTTGAGCAGGTCAGGGCCCACCTTGAGAACGCTGACTTTGTGAATTGCCTCCTTTTAATTTCTTTTTTTTTTATTATTTCTTTTTTTTTTTTTTTTTTTTTTTTTTTTTATCCGAAAGTCGCGGTGCTGTGCGGGGCAAACGGCTCCAAAGGGTGGCATTCAGGTGTAAAACGCTCCTTTCCACAGCTCGGCTTTGATGTGCTCAGGTCCGCTTTGTTTCCCTCTAGGTCAGTTGTAGGTACGTGTCACAAAGAGCCAGATCCGACTGAGTAAATCACTTGTGGAAGTTAATTGTTCACAGTGAAAGCTGGTCTGGCTCATTCTGCCTCCGTCGCAGGAAGAGACAGAGGTGGTGCTGGATCTGCTCTCTGAACCCAGCCTTGACAGCGGCTTTAACTCTGATCCGATGTCTCTCTTCAGGGCATTAAAGAAAACCTGCTCACTAATCAAAAAGAGCCTCTTCTCTAGAGAAACGTAAGGAAAAAAAAAAAAAAAGAAATAATTATTTAATGCCTTTTGCAGAAATAAAGGACTAATGTAGAAGTTCAGCTCTGTTGAATTTCTTTTGCAGGCTGTCATAACAGAAGCCTTTACTTCTCCACGCTTGGCAGTCACCAGAATCAAAGAATGATTTTTTTTTTTCCCCTGGATAAAAAAAAGAAATAAATAAGAATATTAAATGATTTGCAATGTCAGATGCTGTATGATGCTAACTTTGCATTCCAGCTGTTTTTATTCACTGTGTGCTGTGTTTAGATTGTGTTTGTGCCTTCGCTCCACCAAATGGTTTGTAGGATCAGCCGTGGGCTTTGACTCGGTTGAGTAACAGTCTTCTTTTGCTCTCTCCTCAGGACTGAAGCAGTGAGAATGGAAACCACGAAGATCAACATGTCCCGTGTCCCTCTGGTGAACGGGGGCATCGACTCTGCCATGCTCAAGGCACACAAACCCCGGGTGATGTCCAAGAGCGGCCACAGCAACGTGCGGATCGACAAAGTCGACGGCATTTACCTGCTCTACCTCCAGGACCTGTGGACTACAGTGATTGACATGAAGTGGAGGTACAAACTCACCCTGTTCGCTGCTACTTTCGTCATGACCTGGTTCCTCTTCGGGGTTATCTACTACGCCATCGCGTTCCTCCACGGGGACTTGGAGATGAACAAGTTCTCCCCGAAGCGCGAGCCGTGCGTCAAGAACGTGGACTCTCTGACTGGGGCTTTCCTCTTCTCCCTGGAGTCCCAGACAACCATTGGCTACGGGTTCCGTTTCATCACGGAGGAGTGCCCCCACGCCATCTTCTTGCTTGTGGCCCAGCTGGTCATCACCACCCTGATCGAAATCTTCATCACAGGTACCTTCCTGGCCAAGATCGCGAGACCCAAAAAGAGGGCAGAGACTATTAAATTCAGCCACTGTGCCGTCATTACTAAGCACAACGGGGAACTTTGCCTGGTGATCAGAGTGGCAAACATGAGGAAGAGCCTCCTGATACAGTGTCAGCTGTCTGGGAAGCTTCTCCAGACCTATGAAACCAAAGAGGGGGAGAGGATCCTGCTGAACCAAGCCAGCGTCAAATTCAACGTTGACTCCTCCTCAGAGAGTCCCTTTCTCATTTTGCCTTTAACCTTCTACCACATTTTGGACGAGAGCAGCCCCTTGAGAGATCTCACACCTCAGAACCTCAAGGAGAAGGACTTTGAGCTCGTGGTGCTCCTGAATGCCACGGTGGAGTCCACCAGTGCCGTCTGCCAGAGCAGGACTTCCTACATCCCCGAGGAGATCCACTGGGGCTACGAGTTCGTGCCTGTGGTTTCCCTCTCTCCAAATGGAAAGTACGTTGCGGATTTCAGCCAGTTCGAGAAGATCAGGAGGAGCACAGATTCCACTTTTTACAGCATGGACTCTGAGAAGCAAAAACTAGAGGAGAAATACAGGCAGGAGGATCAGAGGGAGAGGGAACTGAGAACGATGCTGTTGCAGCAGAGCAATGTTTGATTGAATGGACAAACTATTCTGATTAATCCTTTTTGCAAACTGAAAAAAACAAACAAACAAACACACTCTCTGTGCTGAATGTCTGCTATGAAACCAGCAGGGAAGTCCTTTTTTAGCTTTGGTGCACAGTAAATCAATCCCTTTGGCCGAGTGGTTAATCAATTACTTTTTAATTAGGCAGGATTTCTTTGTGCACCACCACGACTTAGCAAAGTCGGATTTGTGTTGAGCCTGTGCCTTCTACCACCTCTGAGAGCAGACACAGCACTTTCCTTTTTGGAAAGTGAAACTGGATGCACTGTGCTAATTCCTCCAAATATTTATTTGACGTGGTTTTACTGTGAACGCTCACTGGCAGAGACGGCACACACGGCACTGCTCCTTTAAAATATGTTTATTTAAAATGTGTATTCTCCTACCAGGCATTGCCTCCCCGGGGGGATTCCTGGCACTGAAAGTAAGTTGAGTGGAAGAGGAAAAAAAAAAATGGCTGGATGTGGGAAGAGCCTGCAGGGAGGGGTTAAAATCCTTGAATCTTGAAGGAGGGTGACAGAGTAGTGCTGAGCGGAGAGGAAGAGAACTCGCTCTCTGTCTCTGCTGCTCAGAGCTTGTTTTGTGATTGTTTTATGATCACTCACTTTTTTAACCTTGCTAATGCCTGATTTATATATAATAGCAAAAAAAAAAAAGGGGGGGAGATGAGGGCAAGATGCACAGAATCATGACAGTGATCAACTAAGGTGACAGCTGGCTTTGAGACACCTGGTTTTTCATCCAGTGTAAATAGTTTATAACAGCAGCATAACAATACAATCCTACAGATTGCTTGCTTTGCTATGGACCATATTTAATTCTGGTTAAAAGAAAGCTGTGTAATGTCTCTACACAATATTTACTTCTTTTTTTTTTTTTTTTTCTGGCAACCATAAAGGACAAGCATTCCTTTTATCCATTTCATTTTTTTTTTTTTTTTTTGGTCTAACTGAAACCATTCCATTAATAAAGGAATTAAATTCGAGTAGTTCCTGATCTCTTTGTGGTGAGGGGGAGAGGGTGTAGAACCTCAGGGGTGCTGGAAGGGTGCTTGGTGCAGGCATTTGCATGTGGCACAAAGCCACAAAGCCTGGGGACTCTGCAGGTCACCTACTGGGGTCACATTGCAGGTGGAAAACCAGGGAGCAGTGGTGTCCAGGTAGCATGTCTGTTATAGAGGGGTCAGCTTTTTAATGGGGCTTTGAAATTATTTCAGATTCATATCACTTTGGCAGCTCTCTGAGCTCTAGAGATTTTTCTCCCCTAAAGCTTTGGCAAGAAAAAGCTGGTTTTAGTGCAAGGTTTGGGTCTTTGGGCCAGGTCTTGGCCCGAGAGCCACCAAGACCAGCAAGAGAGGGCAGGGGGGGGTGGAACTAGGTGATCTTTAAGGTCCTTTCCAACCCAAAACTTTCAGTGATTCTCTGATTTTTGGCATCATTATGCTTGACAATACTGTGCTGAGCTTCCCAGCACCACGAGGCCTGGTGGGATGCAGTCCTGCAGTCTGCCATGCAATATTCTATACAATAAATAAATCCAGTTTGCAGCCTGAAGAGGCTAAAGTTGAGAGCAGAGGTGCCCCTGGCACCAGGAAGGAATGTCAAGAAGAAAGGAGCACATACAGCAGGGGTTTGTGGGTGTCTGTGTGCAGGGTGGTGGTGGGGGTAGTAAGGGGGGCTTGAGGGGATTCAAACTGCTCATTTATGTCAGTGATGAGCTCTCCTGTGTGAGAAATCAGACACAGAATTATGGAATGGCTTGGGTTGGAAGGGACATTAAAGATCATCCAGTTCCACCCCCTGCTATGAGCAGGGACACCTTCCACCAGCCCAGGTTGCTCCAAGCCCCGTCCAACCTGGCCTGGGACACTTCCAGGGATCCAAGGGCAGCCAAAAACTCTCTGGGTGACCTGGGCAACACCCAAGTCCTTATATGAAGAGAAAGACTTAATCCAAGAAGGTTCCCTACTCACCACAACACGAGCAAGGCTTCTCAAACCATTGGAATTGCAGGGCCAGACAGCATTTGGGGAAAGAATTTCAAGGGGTGTTACCTGGTACTTCCAGGTGGTTGTCACACAGCTTTCCATTTTTATCATACATGGGAGTTGTTAATGTTTAAATCATTGATTGCTGATTTTCAGTTTTCCATCACTTTCCTCAGTTTCTTGTTTTGTTCCAAGGAATCTTGTGCGCTCCACAGATTTTTGCAGTCCCTTTGTAGACCTGAGGTCTGTGTCCCACAAATCAAAAACACTACTGTGGCATGCTGAGGTGAAAGTGTGTCTTAACCCTTCCTCTGCCAAGCTGTAGCCTCCATGTCTTGATAATCAAACCCTCCAATCCTTTCATATCTGGGCAAGGACTCAGATCACTCCTAAAATAATTGTCAGAGTTGTAGATTGGCTATAAAACAATTCACCTACAGCAAGTGGGCTGAGAAGAAGGAGAGAAGAAGGAGAGAAGAGGAGAGGGGAGGGGAAGGGAGGGAAGAGGAGCTGTTTCTCCACATAACGAAAGAAAGTTTTCTCCACAATTATCTGAAAGCAGGTTGTAGTGAGGGTGGGGGAGTCAGGCTCTTCTGCCATGTCCCAAGGGAGAGGATGACAGGAAATGGCCTTAAGTTGCACCACGGCAGGTTCAGATTAGATATTAGAAAATAAAAATTCCCTGCAGGAATGTTCAGGCATTGGAATAAGTGCCCCAGGGAGATGGTGGAGTCCCTGTCTCTGAGGATGTTCCAGAGGTGTCTGGATGTGGCTCTTGGGGACATGGATTAGGGGTGATTGTGGTGGTGCTGGGTGAGGGTGGCACTGGATGATCCTGAAGGTCTCTTCCAACCTTGATGATCCTGTGCTTTTAGAAATCTTTGGCAAAATCAAGGCAAACCTTCATCAGGTAATGAGAGAGTGTACAGTAGCATTATATACATCCATTAGTACAATATTTATTAATTTCAGCTTGAGAAAACATCCTTACTCTGCAACAAGTTGAAGTGTTTTCCATCCTGCTTTCATTGCAAGTGTGACTTCCACAGCTGCCCCTGCATGCTGGGAAGAGCAGCAGTGGAGCAGCTCAGCTGCAGAGCCCTGGACTGCAGTGGAAAAATGTCCTGACGTGTGGATCTGACCACTTTGGTGGCCATCCCAAAGCTGCCTCACCCAGGAGCAAGGCTTGTCGTGCCCAAGTGGTGATTGAGGGGGTGGGTCCCTTCTTGTCTGTCCCCTGCTTGTCCTGAGGGTGTTGGGGCAGAGCATCCCCACACAACTGGCAGCAGCACCTTCTCACCCTGCTCCCCGTCCCACAAATGGAGGGTAACACTTCAGGAATCACTGTCCTCTAAAATGCACTAACCTTTTGAAGCAATTTAAATTAAATCCTAATCTAAACATCTCAGTCTAAAAAAAAACAGTGGGATCCCATGTCCCTGTGCCAACTGGAATAGCTCTGTCAAGTAAGCGCTCCATCCCAGTCGCTTTCTAAAAGTCAGACCTTTTAAAAATCCAGCCATTCACCTTTTAAAATTCACTGAGGGACATGACATACTTAGGCTTTTTTTATTAGTGAGTAATCAGTGAGCAGAGCATTTTTAGAGTAGGTTTAACTGTTTGGACTTGCACAGCACACAGCTGAGTGGGGACTTATTTCAGCTCGTGGATGTTTCTGAATAATTTGCCCGGGCTTTAATAATTCATTGTTCTCATTTTTTATTTTCTTTGGTTTTTGTTTTGTTGGTTTTTTTCTTTTTTCTGGGGAGGTGGGTGATTGAAGAAGCATAATTTGACTTCAGTTGCTTCCTTGCAGAGGCTTCAGGCTGCCTGTGCCAGAGTCAAATCCATCATCCTTCACTAACGTTTCACTTCGTCTTCCAAATGGATGGCAGTGTGTGTGGAAAGCCAGGAATTTGACAGGGGGAGCACAGTGGTCTCCATAAAAACATGGTTCTCTTAATTTTCTGAATAGAATCAGGAGAGTAAATAGCTATTAAGTGTAAAATCCTCTGGAGGAGGGGATGCAAACTAGAAAATCAGAGAGAAAAACCCCCAAACATGCACAGTTACACACATCCATATGACTGAACATTTGCTCCTTGGTTGAAAAAAACACCTCAACTCCCTCAAATTTGCTGGGATGACTCAAAGAACTGGGAAAAGGGAAGGCAAGCTCCGTGTTTGAGCAAATGTTCCTGCTGACTCCTGCGTGTGTTTGCTCAGTGTCAGTCTGATGACAGCCCGATCTTGTGAGAGAACAGGTAAGACTCTGTGATGGCTCCATCAAATCCCTGATGGAAAGAAGCTTAAAAAAAAACCCTCAGTGTCTGCTCCAGCTCTTGCTTATTCATTGCTATTATTCTGTTTGGCTGCAAAGCAGTCGTGTCCTGGTCGCCCTCATGTTGCTGGGATTACACAAATAAAGGAATGTTCCCCTGACTTGCCTGCTCAGCCTTCAGCAGATACTCTCTGCAAATATTAGATTACTAGAGCAGAGCCCTTTTAATGCAGTAGGTGCTGGTTGAACATCCTGTACCTACATGAAACCTTGAAAGGGCTTTTGGAGCCTTTCCAGAATGCCACATATTCCCTCAGCAGAGACTGTTTGGAGCTGCTTGGCCCTGTGTTGGCACAGGGTGCAGAGGGAAAGCAATTCCACGAGTAGCACAACTTGAATATGATTTTTGCATCTCCTCTTAACAATAAATTCCACAGCGGTCACTGTGCAACTCCTCACATCAAGTGTGTGTTAAAATTCATTCCTTCTTTACCAAGGATTTATCCAGACAAACCATGACATGGTGACTGACACCAGTTATACTGAGAGGAGGAAAGTGTTCAAAGACATTGGATTTTTGATGCCTTGCAGTGAATTTTTCACCTTTCATCAAAGACCTGCTCTACCTGCCTCCTCCTCTGCTTTGCCCAAGGTCAGCATCCTCCATCCCACTGCAGAATGGAGGATTTCCTGGCACTGCCAAGGCTCCAGCTGAGATCCAAATGTGTGGAGGGCTCTGATGGAACCAAAACCAGCTCATGGAGGTGAGTTGGTCTGAAGATCCAGCTCCATGGAGCTGTTTTGGTGACTTTCACACAGAACAAAAGTGTCCAAGAGGTGCAGCAACATGAAGCTTTCTTTGCTCACCCTCACTGTATATCTGCTCTCTCTTGGGAACACTCCAGCCTCGAATGAAAACCCACTGAGTCTGAGTTTCTATGCATTAAAAAGGGCTGAGGGAAGGATTTAAGGGAGGTCAGATGGCTCCAGGACTCATTAATGGCTTTTCCAGTACAAATTGTTCACCTCTTATAGACCTATTTCAGTGGTTTTTTCCTTCTCTCACTCGTATCAAGCATCTAATTATCCAATGTTGGTCAGGATCATAATTTATTTATCTTTCCTTTGCAACAAAGATACGGACTTGAATCATAAGCAGAGTATGATTTCACTTAAGGGCTGCGGTTAAGCAACGGTCTTCAAGTTGGGTAATTGTTATTCATTCTTTGCTCGATGAAATTGGTAAAATGCTCTGTGAAATGTGCCCTTTGCTGTGCTCCAAAATAAGAAAGATCTCAAAATAAATCTCAAAGTCCAAGATCTGGGACGAATTAGGTGATTCATGCTAAATGACCAATCTCGCCAGTTGTCGGGAAGAAAACTCAGAGGTTTGTTTTCAGGGAGGGGAAAAAAAAAAAAAAAAGTGTCATGAACGTTGCCCTGATGGTAAGACACAGTTCAGAAAGAATAATACATGTCAGAACAGTTTTTCACTGTAAAGCTGGAGGCACTGAGATGCTTTCCTTTGAGGAACACAGGTTTAGGCAGAGTTTGCTTCCCAAAATGTGCCCACCTGTGGTAACTGTGTGATGGAATCACTCCCTTCAGTCTCAGAGCAGCACCCCCAGGTGTCTGGGGAAGGTCAGAATGGAGGTTAAGTGTAATCCCCAATGAAATCCCCAATTTCTTCTTTCCTCCCTCTCCCCCCGCTCTTTTCCATGGA